TTGCTAATTTCGAGGCTCGAAACTGTTGCCTGTTTCGAGGCAATATGTATTATGTACATGTTCCATTCGCGAATTTTTACTAGTATTGAAAAGGGAAAGCATGTTATGTTCTGTCCTCGTCGAAAGAATAACATCGCTGCTCGACCGATTACTTTATAGTTTACCGCTACCGTCGGCGCGCTCGGGAACAAAGGCAAGCCGAATAGCATACCACCCTCGAAATAAGCAACTGGCCGGTCCCAAGCGTGTTGCTTGTTTCGAGGTAATACTGTACTCCGTCTACCAGTCGTTGTATGAATTCATGTACTCTTTGTTCCGTGTTAAATTGTGCAATCTTCAATAAAGTGATTGTGACTGTTCTCCGTGTAACAAGTGTTAACAGTTAATTTCCCATCCTCTATTACCGATTTAAAAAAAAACCCATCGAAAAAAAAAATCCAGCCCATTACCTAACAAAAAAGAAGAAATAAATGTTTAATGTACGTAAAAGGAGACGATGTATGCGCGTGATTTGTAACTACATTCATGCCTTTTTGTCAGGGTAATTGGCTTCGTAAGTTGAGAATAAAATTACAATTAATTAACATTTTTGACTAAGTGAAATGGAACAAATCAATTCTTGCTGTGTTTAATTTAAAAAATACACAAATAACTTAAATAAAACGTACCCATTATTCCATGTAAAAACTATCATTGATGAAAAATATTTATGTCACTAGGTAGATTCATCGATCACAGCACTAACAGCTGATGTTCTAGCAGGGTCAATGAACTTTCAATTTATTACACTGTCTCTTTCTAATAATCGCACAACATAAGAACAGCCGGTAAACGGACCGAAGGAAAACGCGTGAACGATTATTCATAGATATGTATGTTTAACAATATTCTGTATTTTCATTATAAGGAATCCGAATTGAGGAATTGATATTAAATTATATTTATATTTTATATTTTATTAGGAGATATTGTTGTTCACGCGATGGGCAGAATATTAACTATTTATAGTTATTTACGAAGGTTGTAAATCTTCGTCGACCCATGGCGTTTCCACAACTTGTTACGGTAGTGGAATTATATGTAGAATTATTATTGTAGAATAGAATTTATCGAGTGGCTCAGAGTCCTCCACACTGGTGTGCCCAGGTCATTGAAGGATGTTGTGATTGAAGGATGTTGATCATCGTCCCACTAGTTGTAATGATTGTTGTGTGTTAAAGTCGTTGATAGTGACAAAGTTAATGTAAGACTGACCGAAGTAAGTATATTCTAAGGAAGCTGATTTAAGACTAACTAGTCGCCTCTAAACAGCCAGAAAAGAAAAGCCATGAAGAAAGTTCAGGACGTGAAGGCGTTACCAAAAAGGGCCAATCAGGACAGATTGTTATTTGTGAAAAATACTGATTGGTGAGATGGTTCAGTGAATGGGATTCTAAGATTTTTAGCCTTCACTCCAGGATTGTAAATTACATTTTGTTAACAAAGTAACCCAAAGTACTTGAGTGATTTGGGTCCTTCAAAGGAAGTAATAAATGGGCACC